CCAGACGAAGGGGCCCTACCAGACGCAGTACCTGGAGGAGAAGCAGTGGTCAGTGTGTACAGGCTCGACCCCGGCCGACGTGTAAACGTAGCCAGGTGGCGACCTGTATCCGCCTCCGTACAGTGGGTCACCCGCTGACGAGCAGGGGTGAACTGGTGGACACCTGCATCCTGGAGGTCAGCACCACTCACCAAGTTCGTCGAGAACGAGGGGAGGTAGAGACCAGTCAGGGTGCCAGAGGGGGCCGCCGGACACGGGAGGACAGTGGAGAAGCGAGACAGGACAGGCCCCCCAGAGGGGTCCGCCAGGGACACCGCAACAGGCCGACTCAGCGGCGTGAGAGTGGTGCGGTCCCTAAAGAAGGAGCGAGACGCTCCAGAGTCAAGGGTGAAGGTGTGAGAGGCCGAAGCCGACACAGTACCTGAGAGGGCGGACTCACCAGTACCTGAAAGCACAGACGCACTGGCACCTAGAGCAGCAGCCTCACTAGTACCTGACGCGGCAGTACCAATGCCCGGGTCGGGCGGGAAACACCGGTAACAGTCATCCTCATCACTACCAGTCACAGCATACATAGCAGAGAGAATAGCATCAAAATCAAGATCATAAATAGCTACACCAGCCCTAGACAGCTCTCCCCAGCGGGGGATCTCAGCGGCCTCCGGAAACTGCTGACGCCAGGCGTCGGTCAGGCGGCCAAAGCAGCGACGGGCTGTGTGGGCGCCTCCACACCTCTCCCCTGCACGGTCACCAGTGCGAAGAACGTAGGGGCAGGGACCAAGCGCACCACCGCGCTGACGCTGCAAGTACCACTCACGGAGCTGCTGAGGGCCGGGGACGGTGCGAGAGCGCTGCTGCTGCTGCGGCTGCTGCTGTGGCTGCTGCTGCTGCTGCTGCTGGCGCTGACCACCCCCAGAGCTGCTCCGCTGGGACGAGCCACTCCGACCCCCTCCTCCACCGCCACCCCCGCCTCCACCGCCACCCCCGTCGCCACCGCCACCTCCCCCACCAGGACCGTCGCTCCCACCGCTCCCACCGCCTCCTCCGCTACCACCTCCGCCGCCACCTCCGCCTCCACCGCCGCCACTACTACCTCCACTCCCGCCACCACCCCCCCCGCCACCCCCACTCCCCCCTCCACCCCCACCGCCTCCTCCACCGCCCCCTCTGGCTCCACCCGCTCCCTTGCCCCCCTTGCCCTTGCCAGTGCGGCGTCTGCCACTTGGGGCAGACGCCGCGCCGACCGACTCAAAACCAACGAGGTCGGCCGCAGCGGCAGAGGCGACAGAGGGCAGCAGGGGGGAGGGACCACACCCCTCAAAGATGGGGGTGCGAGGGTCACCCCGAGAGGCCCCTACAGCGACAATACTCTTCTCAGCCGCTAGCAGGGACTCCTCAAGGAGGTCGACAGTGAGAGTGGTGGGACAGACAGAGAGAAACTGGTCCCTAACGACACGAAGGGACTCAGGGAGACGGGTGACGAGAAAGTAGAGAGTGATGTACATGGGAGGAGGGTTCGCAGCGCGGAACTCAGCAGGAAGGGCAGCGCGGTAGTGGGTGTCACTAGCGCGGAGGTGGGTAACGAGGTCAGCGACAGTGGGAAAGGAAGCGAGGTCAGGGAAGAGAAACGGTAGCATGAGGCGGCTAAGGGTAGCGGAGGAAGGGGAGGAGTAGCGCGCAACTACAGCGTCGTACAAGGCCTGAGCGGTCTTGCACTGACTAAAGTGGGCACGCTCAGAGGAAGGGAGGTGGCGACGCACAGCAAGACGTGCAGCAGCATCGCGGGTCGCCCACTTGGAGCGAACGGCAGAGTCAGCATCAGCAGGCGGGGCAGGGACAGCGCCAGAGACAAAGTCAAAGAGAGAGACCTCATCTACCGCATCACACAGTAAGTACAGCTGCAGGTCCTCGATCCAGACGGCAAAGTCAATGGCCCTCCCCTCAGCGTCAAAAGTGAGAACATTGGGGGTGGCCATGGCAGCAGCTGAAAGTCTCACCAGGATGGGAGAGTCGGGTAGGTCAGCAGCAGGCGGCTCGGGCTGCTCGGGCGGCTCGGGTACCGGGCGGCTCGGCTGCTGCTCGGCGGTTCGGCTGCTGCTGGGCGGCTCGGCTGCTGCTGGGCGGCTCGGCTGCCGCTGGGCGGCTCGGCTGCGGCTGGGCGGCTCGGCTGCTGCTGGGCGGCTCGGCGGGGCCGTCAGGGTGCAGCTGCGGGGCCGGGACAGGGGACGGCGGGGCCGTCAGGGTGCAGCGGCGGGGCCGGGACATGGGACGGCGGAGCCGTCAGGTGGCGGGCCAGCAGGCGAGGTGGCGAGCCGTCAGGTGAGGCGGCGGGGCCGTCAGGTCAGGTGGCGGGCCAGCAGGTGAGGCGGCGGGGCCGTCAGGTCAGGTGGCGGGCCAGCGGGTGAGGCGGCGGGCCTTCAGGTGAGGTGGCGGGCCAGCAGGTTAGGCGGCGGGCCGTCAGGTGAGGCGGCGGGGCCGTCAAGTCAGGTGGCGGGCCAGTAGGTGAGGCGGCGGGCCGTCAGGTGAGGCGGCGGGGCCGTCAGGTAAGGTGGCGGCGGGCCGTCAGGTGAGGCGGCGGGGCCGTCAAGTAAGGTGGCGGGCCAGCAGGTGAGACGGTGGGCCGTCAGGTGAGGCGGGGGGGCCGTCTGGTGAGGTGGCGGGCCAGAAGTCGAGGCGGCGGGCCGTCAGGTGAGGCGGCGGCCGTCAGGTAAGGCGGCTGCGGGGCCGACAGAGGTGCAGCGGGGGGGGGGGGGGGGGCCTGCTGCAGCGACGAAGAGGCCGCGCGGCCGTCTTGAGGGCGGCGCGGCGCGGCAGAGCCGAGAGGGCGGCGCGGCGCGGCTGTAAGGGCCGCGCGAAGTGGGGCCTGAACCGCGCGCGCGAAAAAAAATGAGTCGCGCGCGCGACTCTAGGGGCGCCACAAGGGCAGCTCGACGCGCACTAGGGGGAGCGCGCCTCGGGGAGAATAGGGCGCGCTCCGGGCAGGAAAAAAAAATCGTGGGTGGGCCCAAAGAACGGTCCTTAGGAGGGACCCGCTCTATACCATGTGAAACTAACTGAACAGGAAAATGAATTGACTAAGTCAGAGTTGGGTACAAATACAACCCTAGCAAACTGTACCCCATATGTGCTACCCCACTATAGCCTACAAACATGCATCAGCTATAATAATCTGACAGCGACAACTGAATCGCTTCAACCCTTCGAGGTAGCGATCACGCATCTCTGCTTCCGTGATGTCATCTATTTCGTTGCAGATGCTCAAGAACCGTCGTGTGTACTCCTAGGCGTTTCCTATCTGTCGGAAATGACGCAGACGCTTCATAGCAGCTTCGGAGGCATTCATTAGGTCGAACCTACTTTTCAGCGCCGCTTCAAATTCTTCCCATGTCGTCGGAACCGTGGTAACACCCAAAGCTAAACTCCCTAAGCTCGAGGTTGCGGCTGCATGCCCCACGCCCTATTGATGCCTGTCTGTCTGAGCCCTTCTTACAGCAGTTTGCGTGAGTTGGCGTCACCATTCCAAGGCCGGGCCCCTCAGCAGCGTAACGGCGTACTCAATCCGCTGCTGCACGTCCGCCTCTTGCACCCCGCTCGCGGCGACATTCCGGCAGCGCTTTTGCGCTAGTCGATGTGTTAGGTGCAGGAGATGGTGCGGCATGATCATGAGAAATTGACGCGAATTCACGAAGCTGTTGCATTTCAGCTCGTACCTGACGATTTTCCAACGTCAACTGTTCGAGTTGGCGCATAAGTTGAGCAAGCGTGCTGCCCCTGTCGTTGGGGAGTGCGTTCATGGTCTCGTCCATGTTGGCTCGACGACTCCAAGTCTGCAAGTCGGCACCGCGGGACGATGACGTAGTAGTCCCGTCGTCGACGGTCGCTCGTTGGAAATCGCTCCGCACGAAGGCTCCTGATACCAAGTGTTAGGCCCGACGGCCTAAGTCCGCCAAAGAATTTGCGGGGTCGACTAAGTTGAGGATGAAACTCTGCGGAAGACTTTGGCGAAAGAACTTGGCGAAATAGGCGAAGAAGTTACTAAGTAATTGAAGAAGAGTTGAATGAGAATTGATTGATATTGGTGGTTACAAGCAAGAATGATATAGCATGCAAGGTCGAATGTCGGAAAGTACTTCGTGGGACTAGAAAGTAAAAGCAAGAAAAGTAGAGTGCCACGTGGCACTAGGAAATCTAGGAAGATAAGGATAAGGGTGAGTTGGAAAGTACTGTTCGGAATGAACAGTAAATCCCCCCTTAACATTTTGCCCTTCTACAGTAGCTCTCTGTGTGCGTGCACTGTTTGTTGTTTCAGTCGCCGAACCCTGCCTTCGGGGTATTGTGGGTAAAGAGGAAGGCGCAATAAGGGCGTTGCTCCGCTCCGTGTCCCCCTCCGTCAGGATTTTCAACCATGCTAACTCCTGGCGTGCCAAGGCGCGCTGCAACATGTCTCCGCTTGTTTCCTTGTTCCTTTGGCGGGAGGATTTTTCCCTCCGAGTATGTCGCAGCGGTTAGATTTGTCTCCCTCGCAGGCTCTTCGCCGTCGATTTTCTCCAATTTGGATCCGCTCGATGTGCGGGAATCTACCGTCTGCAGATCACCGGTGTCTGCCACACTGCCAGAAGCGGGGCAACCAAGTCCGACCCACACAAGTCACGGAAGGCTCCACGAGAATTTCACGGCTCAGCTTCGTATTCAGCTTTCCAGAGGTCATTTTATGCTTCTGGCCCGATCCGTTTTCAGGAAGTCTTTCGCAGCCTCCACCCTGCCTGGGGATCTTAGGAACCTCCGACTTTATCCGACGTTTAAGATGGCTCAGGAGGGGATTCTTCTCGGAATGGGCAACCCGCTGCTGGATATCTCAGCGGTCGTGGACGACGCGTTTCTCAACAAGTGGGCCTCGACTGTCTTAGCGAGTTTTTTACGTCTCGCGCTTTGGGATCTCGATCTCTTTTCCGTTTGAAATGCGTGCGTGTGTCAGCTACTGACGTGCCGCCATTGTCCCCATGACGTGCGCACGTTGGAGCAGATACGACGTGAAGCTCAACAACGCCATCCTGGCGGAGGAGAAGCACGTTCCCATGTGAGTCGCTGCCGGCATGAGGGGGAGTGTCGGTGCCAACGGACATATGAGGTCAATGCCGTTTCATTCAATGCGACGCGGATTCATGTCAGATCCATGCGCTGATCTTCGAAGCGAGCTTCAAACCCGGCGACATGTACACATGGCACTTTTTCCCGATCTCGTGTCGCTGATCTCCTAAACTCACACTTTCTTGTGTTTTCGTAATTTCTTTTGCAATGTTTATTTTATGCGCGGCGGCGTGGCAGGTACGCGGAGCTCAAGGACAACTACCCCGTGGAGTACATCGCGGGCGGCGCCACGCAGAACTCCATCCGCGTCGCTCAGGTCCCACCTCCGCCTTCCCGCCTCACCATGTCGCCCGCCTTCCTGCCTCGCCATGGCTTCCGTTTTCTACCGTCCCGTCCTCACCCTTTCGTAAATAGGGTCGCGTGAAGTCCCTGCGTCGGCGCCTCCGCACTTGGGACCAATGTGCCTCCGCTACGTGTTTTCGTCCGGTGGGGTCGTTCCCTCTCTCCCTTTTCAGTGGATGCTCCAAACGCCCAAGGCGGTGTCGTACATGGGGTGCATCGGCAGGGACGAGTTCGGGCAGGAGATGACCAAGAACTGCACGGCCGTGGGAGTCAATGTGAGTCGATTTGAAGCTCTTTCAGGCCGCATTCAGGAGCAAAGTTGGCACTTCCACAGGACGTGCGAACGCTCACTGGATCAGGTTCCGCGTTCAGACTTTACGATGTACTCATGTTATTCAATCTTGTACTTGTTTCAGGTCCACTATAGGGAGGACGACACCACGCCAACTGGCACGTGCGCCGTCCTTATTGTTGGCGGCGAACGGTATGTCCATGCCGTAGTGGCGGCGAACGGTCTGTCCATGCCGTAGTGCTCTGCCGCGCGATTGCACGAGCGCATGTGCATCTCTGATGCTCCAGAATGACAATGGCAGCGCGTAGTGCCCATGTATGCCCCTGCAAAGACCCACGCGTTGCTTTCTCGGGACACCCGCCTCTGATTCTCGTCTTGTCTATAGGAAAGCCAGCGAGTGTAGGTTGCGGTAGAGAATCTTGTCGGTTTCATTGTTCTTGGTCATCGTACCGCAGGTCGTTGATCGCCAACCTGGCAGCGGCCAACTGCTACAAGGTCGATCATCTGCACGCGCCAGAGAACTGGGCGCTAGGTGAGACCTAGTACATGCCCTGTCGCCTTCTCCCAGTGAAGGAAGCGCAGTTTTTTCACACCGCAGGAAAGTTTCTTTGATAAGCCTTAAACCCGTACTTCGCCATGCCCCATCCTCTTTCTCCCGGACTCGCCCGTGATGCCATGGCTCGCCCGTGATGCCATGGCTCGCCCGTGATGCCATGGCTCGCCCGTGATGCCATGGCTCGCCCGTGATGCCATGGCTCGCCCGTGATGCCATGGCTCGCCCGTGATGCCATGGCTCGCCCAGTTCCATTCTCCCAGAAGGCTCAGATTCATCTCATCACGCGCCCTTTCGCAACTGCTAACTCAGATTCATTTCTCGGCTCATGCTCAGATTCATTTCTCGGCTCATGCTCAGATTCATTTCTCGGCCCATGCTCAAGTTACCTTTGTGCACAATCAGTCGCCCATACTGATTCTCACTTCAACCGTCCGTTGTTTGCGCCTTGTCTCGTCCCATGGTGCGTGCGCAGTGGAGAGGGCGCAGTTCTATTACATCGCGGGGTTCTTCCTCACCGTGAGCCCCGACAGCATCATGGCCGTCGCCAAGCATGCAGCGGAGAACAATAAGGTGAGCGTCTGGGGGTAGGTGGCGAGGAGATGGAGCGTTGGTGGTTTTTGTGTTTCCGTAATGTGCTGCAGAATTATCACGTTGGTGAGGGTTTGGTCTGGGGCCAGGTGGAAGGGGGGGAGATTGAGGGTTGGTTGGTGGCCTTTTTTCCACCCTGAGTGCGGAGTGTGAGTGTGCTGCCAGATGATCCTGGTAGGGGCGACGCACGCCCCTGAGAAGAACACGGTGAGGGACGGGAAAGATGGAGGGGGAATGAACGGTTAGTGGTCTTCCTTCCTTGCTCACTGTGGCGCCCAGTCGTGACCAAGCATGCAGTCCATCCTGGCCGTGACCGAGCATGCAGTCCATCCTGGCCGTGACCGAGCATGCAGTCCATCCTGGCCGTGACCGAGCATGCAGTGGAGCAGAAGAGCGTGAGCCAAGTTGACTTGTGAGTGGACTCGGAAGTGACGCCCGCGAGCATCATTTCCGTGGCGGGGCGTGGTCCTCACAAGTCAAGCGGCCAGTGGAGAGCATGAGGTTCATCCTCCATGCGCCTTTCATCACGCAATAACTCTAGGAGCGTCAAGCATGTAAGTGCCCTGAAATCTCCCAGCAACCAGTTTTCCCCTTCAACCCCTGGTCCATCCCACCCCATCCCTGCCAGCTGTTCACCATACAGCGCCCTTCATCTCATCGTACCTCCCTCAATGTGCTCTGCAATTCACCCGACTACCATTGTCTCGCCCCCGTGCCATGTGGTTCCTTCCCCGCCACGCCAGGTGTTCACCATGAATCTGGCGGCGCCCTTCATCGCACAGTTCTTCACACAGCCGCTCATGGACGCCCTCCCGTGAGTCATGCACCCGCCCATCCCCACGTGCACACCTTCTTCTTCCGCCAAACAACTTTCCCGGAGTAATCTACTAATCTACCTTGATCCCAGTGCCGCACACAGCCTCTCACACACGCCCTCGCGTGAGTCAGGCACCCCCTCCCCGCCCTACTTCTCCATGGCCCTACTCGCACCTCCGTTCCCAACTCCTGTTTCGAGTGATCTACGCTCGTTTCACTGTTCTTCATGCGGCCTTTAATGAACACTTTATCGTGAGTCATGCACTCTTGCCTCCCTTCCTTTTCCTGTCCCTGAGTAATCTACTTTCACTCACCAGTCCTCCCTCCTCCGCCGCCATGCCTTCCCTCCCATGCCTCTCCTCCCATGCCTGCCCCCTCCCATGCCCACCCTCTCACGCCTGGCCTGTCATGCGTGCCTTCCCATGTCCACCCGGCCATGTCCGCTCATGCCCGCCCGTGCAGCTACGTGGACTACCTGTTTGGGAACGAGACTGAGGCGCAGACCTTCGCCAAGGTTCAAGGCTGGGAGGTGCGTGCTGGGGCTTAACCATTAGACATGTCTCTTGTGTCACTACTCAATCGTAAGCCGTGCTTACGATGCATGATGTGTTATGGTCTTCTGTTGTCCTTTGTTCTTTTCGCTTTCTTTTTTTCTTTCTCCCTTTCTTTCTTTCTTTCTTTTATGAGCGCTCTGGAGAGTACAGCATGGTTCCACAACCATTTTTTCACCTGGTTTAGCCTGACCTACTCGCTACCTAATCTCCGTCATTGTTCACCGCACGGGCTGTGAGCAGACGGAGAAGGTGGAGGAGATAGCGCTCAAGATGACGGAGCTGCCGAAGGTGAACGAGGCGAGGAAGCGGGTGGTGGTGATCACGCAGGGCAAGGACGACACCGTCATCGCCACCGACGGCAAGGTGCGTGGGGGGCAAGGTGCATGGGGGGCAAGGTGCGTGGGGGGCAAGGTGCGTGGGGGGCAAGGTGCGTGGGGGGCAAGGTGCGTGGGGGGCAAGGTGCGTGGGGGGCAAGGTGCGTGGGGAGCAAGTTGTGTTTGCACCGTACCATGGGATGGTTTCTGTCACTTAAATGGAAGGTGTACCTGGGGCAGGCTGTATCTGTTCTGTGCCGTGAAATAATGTTCTTTGCTTGTGTCCTGCCTTGTGAGCAAGGGTGTTCCTTCTGATCCTGGCTGTGCCTGCCTGCATTGTGTAACTGTCGAGTGATATTCTCGTGTCAACGCTAGTAACTGAAGCGAGGAAGAGATGAAGAGGTGTGATGATTTGTTATTTATGCTTTCCAGAGAGATCAACCTCCCTAGCCTCATCTCTCTCCTAGCTCTATCAATACAGCCAGTGATCCACCCGGTGATTCCGGTGAAGAAGAAACTGGTGGACACCAATTGGGCAGGCAACTCGTTGATGGGCCAGGCAACTCGTTGATGGGCCAGGCAACTCGTTGATGGGGCAGGCAACTCGTTGATGGGGCAGGCAACTCGTTGATGGGGCAGGCAACTCGTTGATGGGGCAGGCAACTCGTTGATGGGGCAGGCAACTCGTTGATGGGGCAGGCAACTCGTTGATGGGGCAGGCAACTCGTTGATGGGGCAAGCAACTCGTTGATGGGGCAGGCAACTCGTTGATGGGGCAGGCAACTCGTTGATGGGGCAGGCAACTCGTTGATGGGGCAGGCAACTCGTTGATGGGGCAGGCAACTCGTTGATGGGGCAGGCAACTCGTTGATGGGGGGCTCCCCGTCGCAGCTGGTGCAGGGGAAGGAGATAATGGCCCTAACCCGATGCACTCACGAATAACCAATGAGGCCCCTTTCCTGTACCTAGCCGGGTGCACTCGTGCATGTGTGTTGTCAACCCGTCTCCTGCACCCCTTGTGTGTATCTATGTCCACACGACCAGGTGACAGACCCACCCGGTGATTAGCTGAAGGAGGATCTGGTGGACACCAGCCGGGCCGGTGACCCGTTAGTGGTCGCCTGCGTTCGCTCTTATATGTGAGCTCTCACTGGCAACTCTGCATGTCCCTCGCACACGCAGGTGACGACCCACCCGGTGATTCTGGTGAAGAAGGAGGATCTGGTGGACACCAACGGCGCCGGCGACTCCTTTGTGGGAGGCTTCCTGTCGCAGCTGGTGCAGGGGAAGGACATTGCCGAGTGCATCCGGGCCGGTAATTACGCGGCCAACGTCATCATCCAACGGTCAGGATGCACTTTCCCGGAGAAGCCCGACTTCAAGTGACTTCAGTGACGTAGCGCCGTACCATTTTTGGAGGTATCAATGATTGTTGTGCTGTATTGGCATTTGTGGAAAGTTTAAGAGAAAGACAGTAGTCCTCCCAAGTCTGACAGTAGTCCTCCCAAGTCTGACAGTAGTCCTCCCAAGTCTGACAGTAGTCCTCCCAAGTCTGACAGTAGTCCTCCCAAGTCTGACAGTAGTCCTCCCAAGTCTGACAGTAGTCCTCCCAAGTCTGACAGTAGTCCTCCCAAGCACCCAATCTCGGAATGATCATCTTCAAATCAGTTTCTGGACCTAGCTACACAGCCAGGAATACTGTAGTACCGTAAGCCCCCGGATAGAAGCGCAGGCCTCGGATAAGCGCCGGCGCTTATAAAAGGATGAGGGCGCTTATATCCGGTCCTCGATTATAAGTGCCACCCTCTTCTTTTTTATTATAATTCTACTGAAATCGTTGTAACGAAACTCAATATTTTCATTCCCACATTTTGAATTTCGATGCCCCCTCACCCTCGCCCGGCTCACTGGCAACGCGTCCAGTCAGAATGAGCTGTCAAGGGCGCATGTGACTCATTCTGACTGTGTGTGTTGGCAGGGAATCAATCCTTGCCAACTTGCACGCGAGATTCTCAATCACAGCCTTGTACAGTACAGTATAGTTTCACATACTGTGTGTGTTCGCAGGGAATCAATCCCTGCCAACTTGCATGCGAGATTCTCAATCGAACCTTGTATACCGTCATACCCCGGATATAAGCGCCACCCGCGGATAAGCGCCTGGCGCTTTTAATTGGCGTGTGGAGCTTATATCCGGTGCTCGATTATAAGCGCACCCCCTGAAGGCTTACGTATTATAAGAGCCACCATTTGTATTAGTTTTTATAAAGTTACTGGAATATCTCTAGCGAAACACACTATTTGCATCCTCACTTGATAAAATTTCGACCCTTCACCCTCGCGAGACTCACTGCCCCACCCTCGCGCGACTCAACTGACTGCGCGTCCAGTCAGAATGAGCTGTCATGGGGCGAAATGACTCATTCTGACTGTGTGTCGCAAATTTACGCGAGATTCTTCTTCACACCCACTACTATGATCTTGACTTGATTGAAATCGCAATGACAAGATAAACATTTTGAAGTACAAAAAACAACTAGATTTCATATATGTCATTGTATAAGCCCTGGCGCTTATAAAATTACTATATTATAAGCCCACCCCCTAAAAAAACCACGTTTTATTAGTGCCCCCCATGGGGGTATATCCGGGGTATGACGGTAGTTTCGACTCGATTCAATTCGCAAGAACGGGATCTACAGTTTGGTGGAAAAACGACGAATTTCATATACCGTCTCCCCCCGGATATAAGCGCCACCCTAGGATAAGCGCCTGGCGCTTCTAATTGGCATATGGCGCTTATATCCCCTCCTCGATTATAAGCGCACCCCTTGAAAAAACTTGTTTTATTATAAGCGCACGTAAACTTTAAAATTTGAAATGTGTTCAAAAAGCTGTAACGATTTTTACTTTAGCAGGCGAATATGTTGCAGATTCGGTTCCCTTCACATTCGGACCCTGCACTGGATGCGGGTCCAGTCTGCAGGACCTGTCAGGAGCTGGATGTGAGTCAGATTGGGTGTATCTCCCAGCGCGCGCGAGAATTTCACAGACGATCCCATGTAACTTCGACTCGATTGAAAAGGCAAGCACGAGACCTACAGTTTGGTGTTAAAAGATAAAAAAAAATGTATGTCATTTTATAAACGCCGGCGCTTATAAATTTACTCGATTATAAGCCCACCCCCATGAAAAAACCTGTTTTATTATTGCCCCCCATGGGGGTATATCCGGGGGGATACGGTATGCTATTATATAAGCACCGGCGCTTATAAAAATCCTCAATTATAAGCGCACCCCCTAAAAAAACGTGTTTTTTTATAACCCCAGGGGCGCTTCTATCCGGGGGCTGACGGTACCCCGTGAGCGCCACGTGTCAGCTCAGCGGTACCATATCGGCCCGGATAGTAGTGCTGTCCTATTAAAACCCGAAGCCTGAATTACAAAAACTGAGCCAGCGCTTGGTTTGGTAGGTCTGGGGTTCGGGCAAAATGGGGTGTGGAGGAATTGCGAAAGGTGGCAGGTTAGCGAAACATGATGCGACTCTCCCATGAGGCAAAAACTTCGCACGCAACCTGCTAACCAACCTCTGAGAACTAGAGCAGAGCAAGAAAATCGGCATGACAGAACAAGCTAACCCATTCACACGCTTTTGGAATACCACCATCACACACCTGCTAGGAATTTTTTTGTGAACACAATTCACACAACCAGAATTAGTAGGTGCAGCACGTATACGCAACGGAAGGGAAACGCAAGCGCCAGATGCGAGTGTGAAGCACGGAGAAAATGGTTGTGAGGAGATCAGAAATTAGCGCTTTGCCGACCTCCGCCCACCTCCCTCCCCCCGTCCGTCGCCCTCGCCGCCTCCCCGCCTGTCGCCCTCGTTCCTCCGCCCGCCCTCGCTTCTCCCATCCCGTCGCCCTCGCCTCCCTCGCCCGTTGCCATCGCTTCCCCCGCCCGTCGCTCTCGCTTTCCCCGCCTACCACCCTCGCCTCGCCCGACGCCCTCGCCGCCTCCCCGCTCATCGCCTTCGGTGTCAAGATAGCAAGCAGGAACGGTTGCATTGAATGAAATGTGGGTACAAGAGCTAACCCCTAACTTCGGGTAGTACCCCATATCAGCTTCCAGTACCCCACTATAGCCAACACAGTGTTGGAAACAATCGGTCCTAAGCGCCTCTGTCGTGTCGAAACACTACGGCACAAGCGAAGCAAGCATATCGAGGCACCGGCGAGTCAACCCTCGGAGGTTGAAGTAACTGCTGGAGGTTACGCGAAAGTCAAAGGTCAGCGACCTTTGACCTGACAAATACAGCGCAACAGCAAGGACACACAACTGACTCGTTACAGAGCAGTTGCCCAAGTCGTCACTGTATCGAACCGCAACAGCAAGTAAAACAGTTACTACAACCGTATCCTTTCATATTCCTTGTACTCTTATATAATCTTGTATCTCTTTGTTTTAATCAACTTACTTTGCCCTCACATACTAGCGCAAGGTGGTTCAAAACTTTTTATTAACGCTTCCGTTACTACACCAACTCTACCCAGAGTTCACCCCTGCGAAGATCCTAAGGGCCTTTTTCAGCCCAACATGGTACCGTAAGCCCCCGGATAGAAGCGCAGGCATCAGATAAGCGCCGGCGCTTATAAAGGGATGAGGGCGCTTATATCCGGTCCTCAATTATAAGCGCACCCCCTAAAAATTTGTGATTTATTATAAGTGCATGTCGAATATTATATGAAAATCAGTCAAAATACAGAAACGAAATTCCCCTTACCAGGGAAGCGAAGTATAGTTCCACTTTCCCGCTCACATCACACTTGCTGCGCGTCTAGTCAGCACGCGCTGTCGCTTAGTCAGCATGTGTTGGCAGGGAATCAATCCCTGCCAAGTTGCTAGAGAGTCAGATTCGCGACCCCATATATTTTCGACTCGATTACACTTGGAAGAACGAGATCTATAGCTTGGTGTTAAAAATTTACTCCATTTCATTTTGCCGTTATATAAACGCCGGCGCTTATAAATTTCCTCAATTATAAGCGCACCCCCTAAACAACAGTGTTTTATTACAACCCCAGGGGCGCTTCTATCCGGGGTATGACGGTATGAGAGCTATCAGGGGGAATTCAACTTCTATACCAATAGTATCAATCAGCATGGCTACACAAAAGGAAAGGAACATTTCCAACGGCTCCCAAGGCACTACTCCTACTCCACCTCCTGCCTCTGGCCTACAAACAGAGGAGGGCATGGCAACAAGACCCAGAGCAACATCAACTGAGACTCCCGCGAATCAACCTGCAGACTTCGACCAGAGCGTGATGGAGAAGTTTTTCTCCTTCATGTCCTTCTACGAGCAACACCAGCAATCGGCACCTGCGCAGTCACACAACAGCAACAACAATAGAGCAACACCCATGAGTCTCGACAGCTCATCATATGCACGAGGAAATCAGCAACAGCAGTCTACCTTTGCTCCGTACGAGCGCGGGTCCATCAGCTTTATGCCACACCCACAACCCTCACCTGGACAAGAAAAACCACTGGACGCATTACAAGTTCAGTCGCAGTTCGCACACGTTCTGAAGATGCAGACGTCAAAACCCTTTGATGGAAAGGACTTCTTCACCTGGTCGTTCGAGTTTGAGCTGATGATGGAAGGCGCGTAGATACTCGGGTTCTTCGACGCGTCTCTGCCATATCCAACAAACGGCACACAGTACGAGAAGCAGCAGTACACCTATCAGTCAATGATCGCATACACGATCCTACTGAGGAACATCACCCCGACTCAACAGCAGAACATAAGGACTTACCGAGGTTACGGCAACTCAGCGGAGCTCCCGTACAACCACCTGAAGAGCCTGTATCAAGCAACAGACAGCGTAAGTCAAAGTCGGTTAATGGCGCAACTGACAACGGTTGAAATGAAACCAGGGGAGAAAGGAATGGCATATATCAGTCGATGTCGCGAGTTGCGCGACAAGCTTCTTCGATGCGGAGGGTCGATTTATGAAGACGCCTTCGTGACAGTCATCATCGGCGGCCTCGGTCCTCAATGGCGCGCTACAAAGGCCATCCTCCGAGCTCACGGAAGAATCTCCGAAGCAGCGCTCTGCGCCGAAATCCACGCCGAGCAGCAAAACATGGACCTACAAGAAGAACGACACAGAAAGAAGACATCAGCACCGGAATTCGCATTCCATACTCAGCGACGCTACAACAACAACAACAACCGGCAGCAACAACCGAAGCTAGTACCTCCGTTCTGCCACATCTGCAAAACTTCAGGACACCCGCGTACACACTGCCCGAATCGTCAACAGTCAACAACTCCACAGCGGCAACTTCGACCTTCAAGCAGCCAAATCGCCTCAACG